TGCCATGCTCGTCTTTGGTCATGTGGTTCCTGGAGTTTGTGTTGGAGGTTCTGACCGAGTCCGGCAACCCCCAATAACTGATGAGGCCATCCCACACCGTGGTTGTGAGGCAATCGGGTTTCCCGGCCTCATAACCATCCACCTGATTTAAAAAAAAAAATTAGAATTAAAGTCATATATAATATTTTTAAAACTATATATATATATATATTATAATTTATAAATCTATACCTCATAGTCGCCCTTCGAGTTATAGACCATGTCGAGCAATCGTGATCTTTCCTTGGCCTCAAACTCCTTCTTCACTCGCTGGTGAATCCCAATAGACCAACGATACTTTTGCTGTAACCAGAAAAAATAATAGACGGATTAGTTTAATTATATTAATAATTTTAAATAATTAAAAATAAATTAACGTACTAAACTTACAGCGAACGATTTGAACCACGTCTTTTTTGTGTGGCTCGCCGTCATCTTCCAGTTTGGAGCTGGATCGGGAAAGTATCCCTTGATACAATCTGTGACGCTAGATCCGACACTATTGTCAAGACAAAACCTGGAAAGACACAAAATAAATCATTAATTAGATTAATTTCTAAATATTTTGTTAATTAAGAAATAAATTAAAAAACTTTTTTAAAAATTAAAACATACCATAATATGTTTTGGCCGTCCCGTCGGAAAGGATCTAACTCTGCCAACCCTTCTCTGCCTGGAAGGCCAAAATATCCTCCACCATGTACACCGCAAAGGGTGCGTTCGGCGGCACCTGCAGATCGGGATAAACCCCGACCGGTGGAGGAGGTGGCTGCTGATACCGGGATGCCGTAGAACCTCCCTGAGTCTCGGGAACTGTCGAAGATGAACCACCGGGAGCTGACGAGGATGAACCCGGAGCATCCTGACGCCCAAACATATCTCCGTAGCTTATCCTCTCGAGAGATGATGTCCTCTTAGCAGCAGCCTTAGCAAGCTTGCTCTGTCTAGGCATCTATATTTTTTTTTTTAAAAAAACAAAACATTAATTCCCGTATAATTTAAAAAAACAGTAACTAAAAGTAAACCAACCTAATCTAAATTACCTAAACTAACCACCTAATCTAAATCACCTAAACTAACCACCTAATCTAAATTCCCTAAACTAACCACCTAATCTAAATTCCCTAATCTAATCACCTAACTACGGAGTAGAGAGAACCTTTAGAGGATTTAGAGAGAAGGTTACTAGCAAATGAGAAACCGGATTGCTCGAGTATATATAAGGAATTTTGTTTCCTCGTAAAGCCCTAGTAATGTTACTAGGACCTTACGAGAAAATAGCTATGCCCGTGTTTTTATTTGCTCGTAAGATTCTCGTAATGACTGTACTAGGGCTTTACGAGGAAAACCCTTTACGAGGAAATAGCTATGCCCGCGTTTTTTCCTCGTAAAGCCGTAGCAAGACCTTACTAGAACATTACGAGGAAATTGTTATGCCCGTGTTTTCTATTACTAGGGATTTACGAGGAAAGATTTTATAAATCCCTAAACTCGAAACCCCAAACCACAACTTTCTTAACTTATAACCTCTTCTACAACCAAACTCATATCCTCTTCTACACATAAACCCCAAACCTCAAATGCAAATTGATTTTGTGATTAAACAAACTTAAAACATATATAATCCAAATTGATTAAACAAACTTAAAACATACATAATTCATTCGGATACATTGTCGTAATATGTTGAAACATCATCATTTTCTAAAAACTCGTAGTCTACACCTTCGTCCGTTGAGTGATCAGGAACATCTTCGTATTGACAATTATGCGGATCAATGAGTAGGATGTCATCAATTTCTGCTTCAGCTTCCTCGATCTCATTGGTGTTTTCTTCTTGTAATGGTGGTTCTTCTCTAGCGATTATTCTTCCTCGAGGTGTAACTTTGATAACAACTAACCAGTTTATTCCCGAGGTAGTAATCCGAGGGTATGGAATGAAGCAAACTTGATCTGCTTGGGAAGCTAATATGAAATGCTCGAAGTTGTTGTACCACGAAAATAAAGATCAATACGTAAAAATTAATTAATATTGAAAACCTGGATATTAAAAAAATTATTAGGTGTACCTTCGTCCACCGTTGACATCAACTACACCGTTCTTGTTAATCCGAACACCTCTGTTTACGAGGGGGTCGTACCACTCACACTTGAAGATAACGCATTTCAAACCCATACCCGGGAATTGAACTTCATAAATCTCCTGCACGATCCCGTAGAAATTTGTTTCGCCTTTCACATATATTCCATAATTACTTGTCGCCCGGTGGCTACCATAGTCGTAGGTATGGAAAGTATAGTCTCGGGTGAAATACATCGCCGATGTAGTGACCTTTGCAACTAGACCTTGAAGTAATTCGCGAAACCATGCGGGATACTTAGGATCGTCATAATCAACCTGCAACAAAAAATAAAATACATTAGACTTACTTAATTTGTGTTTGATCAAGCTTATAGCTGATTTTTTTTTGGTGTGTTTCAAATGAATCACATATGGTGGTATTTATAGAAATTTTCGAATCTGAGAATTTACTAGGAAATTGCTAGGAAAAGTAGGTACAAAACACGTTTTTGATTTAAATTCGATATTTTCTATCAATTTCCTCTTAATTTCGTAGTAACAAATCATTTCCTCTTAATTTCGTAGTAAAGAATTACTAGGNTGAATCACATATGGTGGTATTTATAGAAATTTTCGAATCTGAGAATTTACTAGGAAATTGCTAGGAAAAGTAGGTACAAAACACGTTTTTGATTTAAATTCGATATTTTCTATCAATTTCCTCTTAATTTCGTAGTAACAAATCATTTCCTCTTAATTTCGTAGTAAAGAATTACTAGGACTTTACGAGGAAAAGAATTGCTATGAGTTTACGAGGAAAATAACTTTTTCCTCGTAAGGGCCTCGTAAGTTTACTACGAGTTTACGAGGAAACCCTTTTCTCGTAAGTTTACGAGAACTTTACGAGGAAAAGTGGTTTCCTCGTAAACTCGAAGTAAACTCGTAGTATTTTTACGAGGAATTATTTTCCTAGTAAAGTTTCCTAGTAAAGGTTTAGTTTTCTTGTAGTGGCTCTTCTTCCTGAATCCAGCCAGTACTTCCAACGTCCATTGGATTGCTTCTACTTTAGTTTTTATTGCTGATCTCAACACTGCCATTTCTTAGTCCCTGCCCACACAAAAAGTCCCCGATCATCTCTCAGTATCCATCCAACCCCTCCAGCCCCAGTCTCCTTTGTCCACGATGCATCTGTATTTACACATAAGGAAAGATGAAACCGGTGGAATCCATTTCATTTGAGGCGTTTCTATCATGGGTTTTTTCACCTCCTCTTCATTAACCTCTACTCGGTTCATCCACTCCGTCACATCCTCCCATACTTTTTGCACTATTGTGGGAGCATTATAGTCTTTCCCCCTAAAATCATATTCATTTCCATTATTCCATAATCTCCACAGCAACCATGGCACAAATCCTTCATCTATTTCCTCCATCGGATACTCTTCTTCTTTGATTCAAGACCTAATAGATGTTAGTAAATAAAGAATCCGACCATATATCTCCCTGAGGGATATGAACATTCGCCTCTTCCTAGACTCATCGAGCATAAGTGCATTGGAAGAGTAGATGGGTAACACTCTCCCCCACTCCTACGCATCTACATCAGTCACTATCCTTAACAATGTGTCTATTTTTCAAATTTTCTGCTACCGAGAGGGCATTGTTGAGACATCTCCACAAGAAATGTTTGATTTTTGGACTGGTCTTTAACCTCCATATCTGCTGGTAGCTGCTGTCGAGGCTCGACCGATAAACCTCCTGTTGCTCCAAATTCATAGCTACAATATTTATTTGAGCCCAATACCCTGATTTCACTGTGTAATGCCTTGATTTGGTAAACTCTCGTGAGTAGGTATCTCTACTATATTTTCCTGCTGGCCGGATCCTTAAGATTTTCTCCTTAATCTCCTCTGTAAACAGCCTATCAAGCTTCTCCGTACTTCATTAACGACTGTTTTCTTCCAGCAACTCACTCACCCACATATCATTCTGCTGAAATCCATACTCTCTACCAGCTTCCACTCGTGTGGAGTCCTGGTGCCTCTTTAGTCTTTACCTTTCTCTTCTTTTGTTTAATCACAATTAATCTTCTTAACTATATGGGCTGAAACAGATCAATCTGCCCACTAAAGTCCATTTGTTTACCTTAAGTTTGAAGGTTGATCATAAAATTATTATTTGGTGGAAACGATTAAAGCAATCTTACTAGAAATATTTAATATTGTTCATGAGAACCGATAAAAAATGATAAGAGATACAATTGTAGTCATTAAAACGCTTTGTTGATTCTGGAAATAACTTAGATTTTAGATTTAGGGGCTTCGCGTGTATTAGGTCCAACTTAAAAAATTAATGGATCATGTGCATATTTTTTATTTTTTTTTCTAACAATTGTTAGGTCAATTTAAAAATTAGATCTTTAGTTTGTAAAAAAAAATCAGAATTAAGAATCCTAAAACAGTAAGACAATTGAAGTAAAGATATGAGTACCTGGGCATTTGTATTCTCAGCACACCCACAGAGCCAACACTGGTGTGTATCCATGTTTGTTAGGAAAAAAATGTTAAGCTAGATGAACTTCTGACCTAAAACGAATTGGCGATAAGTAGAGTGACACATCTATCTTATATACTACTAATGATTCATTTCAACTACCAATGTGAGACATTTATCCCTAATACGCCCCCTCAAGATGATGACTCTTTGAGCGTAAATCTCAAAATATTTGGGCAAAGATTGATAAGTCAATTTTGGGTTGGATTGATAATGGACCAGACTGGATTTTTTTTATAACAATAGTCTTACAAGAACTTCCAAGTTTATTCATAAATGCCAAAAAGAGCACCTCAAATAAACAACATCATAGCAAGAAGGAAAGTATCAATGTATGAAACATATACTAATCAATTGTTGTCTGAGGAAGCCGAGGAGCTTCAGTTTGTCTCAAGCTTTCAAGAGTAGAGATCCTTGTGTCCATCAAGTCAGGAAAAACCTTTGTCTGGAGAGAAATTGACCCGCGAACGATTTTGTAATCATTATAGAGAAAAGAGAGGCCGATAGAAGAAGCAGATGCAACTCCGGTGAAGAAAGATGCCATTCTTACCATTAACACGTATACATTAAGCTAGATGAAATTCCAATCTAAAATCAATTGATAAATAAGTGGAATGAGGCCATCTATCTTATATATTGTTAATGATCTCTTTCAACTACCAAAGTGGAGCATTTTCCCTAATATATATGCCCCCTTGAGATGATGATTTTTTTAGTGTCATCGATGGACCTACTCTAGGCATGGATCGATAATGGATCGAGATGAACTTGCATGGATCTGGCTCTGATACCATGTTAAGCTAGAGACTTCCAACCTAAAACCAATTGGTCATAATAAGTGGAGTGATCCATCTATTTTATATACTATTAAAGATTCATTTCAATTACCGATATGAGACCTTTTGTCCATAATAAAAATTGGGTATAGATCTCCTGCGGAAATTATTTCGAAGATCCAAAACTAAAAAGAGTGGTATTTGATTTTGATTCCCGATGTAGACTAAATTATCGTTACTTGACCAGTATAGATTTGAATCTGAACCAAATGGTTAATGTTGAACCGTAAGAGATTGTCTACTCCTTACATTAATCAAAAGGTATTTTAAACTCAACCTAGACGGTATGGTATGTTTGTAAACTAATCCACTCATCTGTAGTAACTGTATTTTTACCTGGAAACAACCGAGAAAAACTATAAAAAAAATTAGATTTTGGTGCACATTTGTTATCAAGATTGACGGACCAATATATGTTATATTATTAGGAAAACCGACCTTGTTAGATTCTTACAGTGTGCACATAAAATACCATATGCACCAGATACAAATATATAATCTTACCAGTTTCTAACCAAAATCATTGAGGATATTATGTCATATGTGCCTAATGCTAGTAGAGCGTTTATTATTGACAAGAAAAAGAACCACTTGAGAAATGACTTCTGACTAGTATCTTTGACGACATGGGCCTAACAGATAATAATCAAGTTAGTTTGCTATCGGCTCGTTTAAAGCCCATTAGTGATTACGTAATCGTGCAATCCAAAATCTGTGGCTAGCACGTGCCTTATCTGCTTCAGTGGTCTAAAATCTCTCTTTGCTTGATCCATCTTTGTCTTCCTAGCTCCTCCATATCATCAAACTCTCCATAACCTAAACCCTTTTCACCTAAGCTCTCGAGGACTCTACTACATCAATGGCGTCCTCTCCCATTTCCCCTGCTACTCAGGTTTTTTCATTAATCAGAAAAGTTTCTTTCATTGTTTCATGGGTCTTGATGAGTTTTGTTGTCGTGTGTGCAGCTTGGTTCGAGCAGAAGTGCTACTATGTTGGCGATGTCGCGTGGGATGTTTGTGAAGCCAACGAGGACGAGTCACCAGATGGTGAGGAAGGAGAAGATTGGTCTGAGAATTGTTTGTCAGGCGACGAGTATACCAGCGGAGAATGTTCCAGATATGGAAAAGAGGAAGCTTTTGAATCTTCTTCTTGTTGGGGCTCTTTCTCTACCTACTGGCTTCATGCTTGTCCCTTACGCTACCTTCTTTGCTCCTCCTGGGTCAGTTCCCTTTTAATCTCATAGCTTTTGCCTTTTTTTTTGTTTCAACATTTGATTATTGCATTTGAGAGTAATTTGAGATTTTTGTTGTTACAAAGTCTTAAGAGTTGTGTCCTATTTCAGACCATTATGCAATTATGACTAATGTAGATGTTTTTTTTTGGTTTGACTGAGATGTTATTAATAACATTTCATAAATTTTATTACCTCTTGGTATTGAGTTTTGCTTGACGGTGAAGTTTTCATTTGTTCTATTTGTTGTTAGGTTTGTGTTCTGTCTCAATCCAACATGTACTTAGGACGGTTTCTTTGATGTTACTGAGATGTGAGATCAGTGAGACATCATTGAGAGTTTCTTAGTTTCTTCAATCTCTACGTTTCTTTGAAAAATGCAGATCAGGAGGTGGAGGTGGTGGTACTCCAGCCAAGGATGCACTTGGAAACGATGTGATTGCAGCGGAATGGCTCAAGACTCATGGTGCTGGTGATCGTACCTTGACTCAAGGATTGAAGGTAAAATATTCCATTGCTGCTATGAGAAGAAGAAGAAGAAGATATTAATCCCTTGAAACAGTAGTACTTTAATCCCTTAATGATGTGGATTTTTAATGTTATTAGGGAGATCCAACTTACCTAGTTGTGGAGAACGACAAGACACTAGCGACGTACGGTATAAACGCAGTGTGCACTCATCTTGGATGTGTTGTGCCATGGAACAAAGCTGAGAACAAGTTCCTATGTCCTTGCCATGGATCCCAATACAATGCACAAGGCAGAGTCGTTAGAGGTCCAGCGCCATTGGTAAGTCAAATACATAAGTCACTCTCTCTAGTGTTTCTTTAAGTAAACATTTTAAACTAAATTTGATTGGGTGGAACAGTCGCTTGCCTTGGCACATGCGGATATTGATGACAGTGGAAAAGTTATATTTGTTCCATGGGTTGAAACTGACTTCAGGACTGGTGATGCCCCTTGGTGGTCTTAAATCTCTCTATACAACAACTCTTTTGTGAGGTAGACGAAAAGCTGAGTCTTTTGTGTAATACCTGGTTGAATGTTGTTATAATGTAAAAGCTGTTTGTAATCAATCATACATTTCATGGCAATTACTCTGTGAATTCTTGCCTCTTATATGAATTTTATGTCACTCACTTCCCATGTCTTTTGTTTAATTTCACATTTTTATTCAACAATCTTACACATGATTAGACTATGTTCCCATATTTCAAAACTTGTCCATGATCAAATTCTAAGTCGTCACAATCTTGCCTAGACAAGCTCTGAAATTTTACTTTTTCTTGTTTTTTTTGACAATCTTTTTTTTAACTTTTCTTGTTTCATTTTTTATATATTCTTATCGGATGAGAACACCTTAATACTGTTAAAATTTGATTGATCATATATAAGTATAACTAAAATAATATTGTTTTTATGCCGCATAAATATGTTAGATATAGGTAAATGAACTACCAATTATTTATAGAAATAGAATCTGAACACTCATTTTCTAAACCATTATCTCCTTACCGATCTTTTCTTTCAATTTTTTTTTGCATGTTACAACAACGTTCGGATTTGTTTTTCACCGATTTTTACCAATGTTTAAAAAATTCAAAGACTGGAGAAACGGAAATGGGCTTTATTTGGGCTTATCAAGCAAAGTAAATAGAGTTTTGCACAGTAAAATCACCACACGACAAAGTGTAAACGAAAATTTCGATTCCGTACGTAAAGAGTCTCTCCTTCGAAACCCCTAAATCCTCTAGGGTTTACTCTGTTCTTCTTGACCTAATCATGAAGAGAAACAACATCCACCACCACGACGACGAAGGTAGAGAAAAGCTTCGTCTCTCTTTGAGTTTGTTTCTTATTCTTACTTTCTGAAAATTCGAATTTTGTTTCCGAGACAGAGCCACAGATCGATGAAGATGATCATCAAGTCATGAATCAGAACAACCATGGCGAAGAAGAGGAAGACGTTAACGATAATCACTACGACTATGACGATGGCTTCTTGACTGATGGCGGCGATGATGATGAAGACGAACCAATGCAACATAGTGATGAAGATCATGAAGATGATTTCAATCTCCACGAAGACGACTATCAGCTTCTCCAGGAAAACGAAAAAAACCTCCAGAAGAAGTTTAAACGTCTAAAGAAAAAGTCTGACGATGATTATGATGAACTGAATGACTTCATTGTTGATGAAGATGATGGAGTGAGGAACGTTATTATCAAGAAGAGGAAATACATGCAAGGATCTGATTCGAAAGCTTTTCACGATGTATTTGGTGATCCTGAAGAGATGTTGAAACTCCGTGAAAAAGATTTGGCCTCTAGGATTGAGGATGAAGTGGAACCACCTCTTCTCTCTGAGAGAGATGTTCAAATCCGGAAGCTTGATGTTCCCGAGAGGATTCAGTTATTTGAAGAAGCCACTGAAATAGATGAAATCAACATTGAGGAAGAGAGCAATTGGATTCATGCTCAACTAGTTCATGAAGAAGCTGTTCCGGAGAAGGACGACATTTCGAGATTCTTGGAGCTATATCACGTTCACAAGTTAGATATACCTTTTATAGCTATGTACCGGAAAGAGCAATGCCGGAGTTTATTAGATGATGATGATGATAATCCTGAGACCACCAAGTGGCATAAGGTTTTGTGGATGATTCATGATTTGGATAGAAAGTGGCTTCTTCTTCGGAAAAGGAAAACGTCTCTCCTTGGTTACTTTAAAAAACAAACTAGTCTTCTGCATCATCAGAATGTTTTTGAGTCGGCTATCAAGTCTCTTGAAGCTGCGGAAACAGAGAGGGAAGTCGATGATGTAGACTCCAAGTTCAGTTTATGTTTTCCTGTTGGTGAAGGGCAGTACAAGAGGCCTAACAGGACATCACAGTACAGCGTCTGCGTCAAATCCGGCCTCCGAGAAGTTGTGAGCAAGTTCGGGTACAGCGCGGAGAAACTGGGGCGAGCGTTGTCTCTAGAAGAAATACTTGTTGATGAGATGGAAGATGCAAAGGAAACACCAGAGGAGACGGCGTTGAGCTATGTGTGTGCGATGTTTGGAGACTCTCAAGCTGTTCTTAAAGGCGCACGGCATATGGCTGCGGTTGAGATCAGTTGCGATCCACTGATAAAAAAGTATGTCCGGACGATTTATATGGAGAACGCAGTAGTCTCGACAAGGCCAACACAAGATGGGAATGTAGTGATGGATAATTCTTACCATCGGTTTTCTGGTGTTAAGTGGTTGCGGGAAAAGCCACTAAACAAGTTTGAAGGTGTTACACAATGGCTTCTCATTCAGAAGGCAGAAGAGGAGAAGCTTCTTCAAGTGATCTTCAAGCTGCCCGAGAGTTGCATGAATAGGCTAATCAGAGATTTCAGTGAACACTATCTTAGTAATGGTGTAAGTAAGTATGCTCAGCTCTGGAATGAGCAGAGGAGATTGATACTTGAGGACGCCGTTCATGGCTTTCTTTTGCCAGCAATGGAGAAAGAAGCAAGACTGTTTCTAACTAGTAGAGCAAAGTCCCTGCTGCTTTCGGATTATGGACAGGTTCTATGGAACAAAGCGTCTTCAGGACCATACCGAAAGGAAGACGATGATGTCCCGAGGGTCCTAGCGTGTTGTTGGGGACCTGGAAACCCACAAACTACCTTTGCGATGCTTGATGCATCAGGAGAACTGCTTGATGTGCTTTACACACGATACATCGGGTCGCGAGATGAAGAGGATAGGAAACGTAAGAAGGACGACTACCGTGGTCTTTCGAAGTTTATAAAGGAGCACCAACCTGATGTTGTGGCTCTAGGAGCTGTGAATATGAGCTGTGTTCGTTTAAAAGACGATATTTATGAAGTTATATTCGAAATAATGGAGGAAATGTTGGAGGGAATGTTGACGTTTGATTTGCCTCTTGTTTACGCAGACGAATCTCTCCCCAGGCAGTACGAAAACTCCGGGATATCAAGTGAACAGCTTCCTGGACAGCCAGGGATTGTGAGACGTGCAGTGGCTATTGGTCGGTATCTACAGAATCCATTAGCTATGATTGCGACCCTATGCGGTCCAGGTAAAGAAGTCCTGTCTTGGAAACTTCATTCTTTGCAAGATCTTCTTGAGCCAGACGAGAGGTATAAGATGGTTGAACAGGTTATGGTTGATGTAACGAATCAAGTTGGAATAAACGTTAATTTTTCCGCGAGACATGAGTGGAGTTTTTCTCCTTTACAGTTTGTTTCCGGACTTGGACCTAGGAAAGCTTCGTTGTTGCAGAGATCTCTTGTTAGAGCTGGTTCGGTTTTTTCCCGCAAGGAGCTGATGATAAATCATGGGCTTGGTGAAAAGGTGTTTACTAACGCTGCTGGTTTCTTGAGGATCTCTAGAACCGAGCTGGCTTGTAATAGCAACCGAGACATGGATCTTTTGGATGATACTAGAATACATCCTGAATCATACAGACTTGCGCAAGAGTTGGAGAAAGATGTTTATGATCAAGATCCTGATCTATCGGCTTCTTTGAGAAGAATCGATATTGATGAGTATTTGAGATGCAAGAAACAGGAGAATAAGAAGGAAACTTATGTTGATATCACGAGAGAGTTAACCTGTGGTTTTCAGGATTACCGGAGTCGGTTTAAAGAAATAAGTCAAGATGAAGAGTTTAATATGATCTCTGGAGAAACAATAGGAGAAGGGAGAATTGTGGAAGCCACTGTTAAGAGAGTAACTAGTGGAAAAGCCATATGTGTTTTAGATTGTGGATTAAAGGGGATACTAATGAAGGAAGATTACTCAGACGATGATGGAAAAGATATATTGGATTTGTCTAACAAGCTGTGTGAAGGCGATGTCCTTACTTGCAAGATACGTGGGGTTCAGAAAAACAGGTATTTTGTGTTCCTTAGCTGCAAAGAAAGTGAAATGAAACTCAAGAGGAATGTCGGGGAAGTGGATGATTATTATTACCACGAGTATGAGGATCAAAATAGTGTCGTGTCCGAGAAAAAGAAAACTGTTAAAGCGAAGAATCAGTTTAAGCATAGGATGATTGTTCATCCTCGGTTTCAGAACATCACTGCTGAAGAAGCAAGAGTGTATTTATCTGATAAGAATAATGGAGAAAGCATTATTCGTCCAAGCTCGCGAGGGTGCAATTATCTGACTTTGATGATCAAGATTTTCGATAATGTGTATGTTCACAAGGAGATCTTCGAAGGTGAGAAGGAGAAAGTGAGCTTACAAAGTATTGGAAAAACACTGAAAATTGGAGACGAAACCTTCGAGGATATCGATGAGGTTTGCGTATCTTTCTGTTTTCTTTTAAAATTTTGATTATAAGAGAACATTCTTGAACATACTCAAAAAACGTTTTTTAAAACATTTTGCAGGTAATGTATCGGTACGTTGATCCTTTTGTAGTTCATCTCATGACAATGCTTAGCTACCGGAAGTTCCGGAATGGGACAAAGTCGGAAATAGATAGTCTTCTTCGGTCTGAGAAGGAGCAAACTCCGACAATGGTAGTTTACTGTTTTGGGGTATCACTTGAGTATCCAGGCAGCTTTGTATTGTCTTACGTACGGTCCGCGAATCCCCACCATGAGTATATTGGTTTATCTCCCAAAGGATTCAAGTTCAGGAAAAGGATGTTTGGCGATGTTGACAAGCTTGTATCTTATTTCAAGAGGCATATTAAAGCTGATCCAGAGCTTTACTAATCAGTGGTATCACATTAGGTACTCTTTTTGTATATGACTTGCTTTGAAATTGCTTTTAATGCAAGTTAGGTCTTGGTTTAGTGTAAATGTTACATAAAATAGATCTGTTAAATTGGTCTCTCTGTTTTTGGTGATGAAGACTTTTACGGTATATTTAACTTATGCTGAAAAGCTAGTTGTCTCTGTTTATTGTGAACAAAGTTTTGTTTTACAATTCTAATCTCGTGTCTCGTTTCATTCACTTTTTCCCATTTAGTACTTGCTTAATTAATGTTTGATGCTGTATTGTCTAATGTATCAAATAATATATTGTTTTACGTTTTTTTGGCAGATTGTTCTTGAGGTTATTGGCTCTGTGTTGACGTCCGGTTCAAGCACAAGGACTATTTTATGTTACTTTCACCTCTATATCAGTAACTTTTTGTTGACTATTTGCATTCCGACAATAAGTGAAGGTTATCATTCTTCATCATTCGTCTCGAGTCTGGATCAGCTCTGAAATAGTCACCATCAACAATGATTTCGTTTTTTTTAAATAATTTTCTTCTTCTTTTTTTTCCAGAAAATTAGAAATTTTATTAAAACTTATTTTCATTATTATAAGATTCAACTTAATGTTCTAAAATTTCTGAAAACAAAAAAAATAATACAAAACATTTTTTTAAAATTGACGTCATTATTGACTGTAATGGTCTTTTTATGATAGCTGTCTAGTCTTAGATACTCCCTCCGTTTTATATTAAGTGTCGTTGTAGAAAAATTTTTGTGTTACAAAATAAGTGTCGTTTTCGGTTTTCAATGCAAAATTTATTAATTTTATTATGTAATTTGTTTTTCTATTGGTTAAAATATGGTTAGGTGTATGTGTAATTGTGTTTTTATATAGGAAATATGTAAAATTAATTGTTTCCTTAATCCGTGTGCATAGCTGTAGAGTGACACTTATATTAAAACAGAGGGAGTATATCGCTATTAGTAGTTACAATTATGGACATATATTAATAGTAATATTTTTTTTTTCATCAGTCGATGCCAGTGTTAAAAACTGTTATTGTCAATATATGAGAAAACACAACCGTCATCAGGATCGACCCACAACACAAGCGATCCAACTATCCAAGTCACCGTTTAGGACTTCCAATATAAAGGGGTGTTTTTGATTAAAATTTTCACACTAAATTTATTATTATTCGCAATTAAACATAATTATATCAAAATTAATATTAATAATTTTTAAATTTTTAGTATTGTTTATGAGTTTTATCAACAAGATTATTGATTAAGATTATCATCAATGGATTATTATTATAAAGCCTATAAACTTTATATTAATTGCAAATTTTAATTAAATTATACTTTCAAAATGCAAAAATTCATACAAATTCTTCTTTTTCTTAGTGGATTATATCTTTTACTATTCTCACTAGGTGTTTTGCCCGCACTTGCGGGCATAATAATTTTACTAATAACTATAAATAAATATATAATCAAGTTATGTAAATTATAATAAATTATTGTTTATAGACTCAAAATATTTAATAATAAACTAAAAAAATTCTTTTTATTTATAAAATTTTTGATCATCATATAAATAATTTTCATTACACAACTTATATTTGAAAATACTCATAAACTTAAAACATTTAGTAATAAATTAATATCATTTTTAGACATAACAAAAAAAATATAAAAACATATCTTTAATAATGTTTTGGATACACACAATATAAATTATCTATACATAAATTCTTTGCAAATTGATTTTTCATAATTAACTATATATTAACAAATAGAATATTTTTTCAACGTTAATAAAGACTTTATAACACGATATAAAAAAATTAGATAAAGATAATTATCTAATTCATGAGATTCATTTTTTAATTTAGAATTATTATATGTTAAAAAATATAATTATTTTTCAAGGTTGATAAAGACTTTATCACATAATATAAAAAAATAAAATGAGGATAATTATCAAATAAACGAAATTCGATTTTAATTTATAATTAATTATATATTAACTAATATAATTATTTTTCAAGTATATTAACTAATATAATTATTGTTCAAGGTTAATAAAAATTTTATAATCCAATATAAAATAGTTTTAGATAAAGATAAATCTAAAATCATTGAAATTTGTTTTTTATTTATGTTTAATTATATAAAAAATTGTAATTATTCATTACGGGTATAAACGATATGAACCGTTCTAACTTTCAACGTGAAAGCTTTGTTGCAAAAAATCATTCACAAATAATAGTAGAGATTACCTAAATCACAGAAAGTTACAAATTAATCAGCAAATTCACTTAAATTTTATAATTGAAAAATATATTTTTAAGATAACAATCTAATATAAAAGAATTAACATGTTTTCTAAAAATATAATATTATTAACATAAATTCTTTTTATTTTATTTTATAATAAATTATTAAAACATGAAAATAACCAAAATAACCTAAAATCATGAAGAAGTTGACAACTAAGCAAATTTTTACTTCTAATAATAATTGAAAAATATATTTTTAATATAACAATCTAATACAAAACAATTAACATATTTTCTAAAAATATAATATTATTAACATAATTTCGTTTTTATTATATAATAAATTATTAAAACATGAAAATAAGCAAATTTACCTAAAATCATGGAGAAGTTGACAACTAAGCACATTTACTTCTAAAAATATTTTTTTAATATAAAAATCTAATACAAAAGAATTAACATATTTTCTAAAAATATAATATTATTAACATAATTTTGTTTTTATTATATAATCCTCTATATATTAATTGAGAAACATTTGAAAAGATTTAACCTCAAGTTTGTAATAATTAAAAAAGAACCTTGCTGATTTGTCAATCAATCTCTATAATATTATTTGACAAGTCAGTTTCATACGTGTCGCGCTCACGTTAACTCTCGCGATGGTTAATTACATAGATACCGATGAACAAAAAATATTAAATAAATTAGATATTAATAATGTATTTCCTTTTTTCATAATAAGATTTTACTTAATTTTTAATATAGGTTTACTTTTTTAAACCACATAAATAAAAAAAGGAAATATTTATTAATAAATCTTTATATATACACGAAATTTAATAATTATTTGGAAAATTTCCTAAAATAACATATTTAGTGTTTATTTAATTGATATTAATAATGTATTTCCTTTTTTCATAATAAGATTTTAATTTTTAATATAATTTTACTCTTTTAAAACACATAAATAAAAAAGGAAATATTTATGAAATATAAATCTTTATATATAAACGAAATTTAAATTTTTCGAAATTTAACTAAAATAATATGTTTAGTGTTTATTTAAGAGATATTAAAAAGGAAAGTAAAAATATTTTTTTAACAAAATAAATATTTTGATCAAATAATTTCAAAATCCTTTTAAATAACGTAGCATTATACACTATTAATAAAATGAAAATATCACATTTTATTATTATTAAAAATTATTTTTAATATTTAGTTTGATTTTCAGTTTTATGTTTTTTTTTTATGTTTGTGGAACTTAATATATAAATAATCAAAATACTCAAGTAAATCTAAGTTCTATTTTTAAGATTGTTTAAAAAACGTTTCAGATTACCTTTTAAGAGATCTAAGGCATAAAATAATTTAGAATTTATAAATATTTAACTATTGTAAATATTAATATGTGCTCATGAAATTTCAAAAGTTTCTTTATACTCATATTTATGTATGTAAATTGTTATTGATCGTCACTTTATTTTTTAATATTTCTTAAAAATCAACATATATCCAATTATTAAAAATATTATAAAAATACTTGCATTAAGCGATAAATAAAACTAATTTGATTTGATTTAATTAGAACAAAAATACTTATATTTTCATTTGAATTAGTAAATATATATAACTCAATATACTCACAAAACAAGTAAAGGAAAGAATCTAACTTATATCCAAATAAAAAGATCTAACTACAACAAAAACATATAATTTAGAATAATTATTTATTTATTTTTATACATATAGATTACGGGATGACTCAAAAATATCAATATAGAAAAATAAATCATTAACCAACTGCTATAATTCAGCTTTTTTTTTGTTAAAATTATATATATGAATGAGACTTCAGAATATTATCGTTATATTCATTTATGTAATTTTGAATCAAAATTTCAGTTTATTTTCAATTTCATTATAAGCATAATATGTATTAAATTATACCTAATCTTGATAAAATATATATACATATATAAGATGATAACCAATCTAAATGCAATAATAATCAAAGTTTTAGTATATTTAGAAGAAAAATATTATAGTTGAATTCAGAAAAATAGATGCAATCTAAAATACACAAGTGTAACCAAATCGACTATTGACCAAAAAACAACCAAACCTATTAAATAAAACATCTTCCAAATCGTATGTCTAACTAAAATAATATAATATAAGTTATACATATAAATTGTAAACTAATTAATAATTAAAAGTAAATATCTATCTAAATTAATAAATTAGAATATACCAAAATATATTACCACAATATATTTATTTCATAAATATTCATACCCGTGCATGAGCACGGAAAAATCACCTAGTTAACATGTTAATTAAACTGACGTGGCAGCTTTAGGTTCAATTGGAAAATATGTAGGTCCAAAATAGATTTAATCTATTTCGCTAGGGAAATATCAAGAGAATGTACATTTATATGTATAACTATATAACTATGAAACGTGGTTTATTTTGAAAAGAATTCTAAAATTTAACCGAATCGTAGCTGATGCCTTTTCTTCGACCGATCTAGCACGACTCTTAATGATATAGAAATAATACTATACAATTATACTTCGAATAAGATAAGAAATATATACTATGTAAAACTATCTCTACATGGTTGTATGTAAATAAAATTAAAAAAAAATTACAGTTGCTCAAATATACTCAAGTAAAGACCATACCACGAGCATGAGAAGATTTATATATACTCAAGTAAAGACCATACCACGAGCATGAGAAGATTTATATAAGTGATGACATTGTACTTACATTATAGTATACAAAAAGTTGACAGTTATGTAGATGATATTTATATGATTGTTCTTAAAAAATGTACACATTTATATGTTAACGTATTTTTATCGATATACACAAGAAAGCGACCGGTTTGTAATTGATAGACTTAGTATTTTAGAAATGGAAGTTAATCTAAATGACTATATATGAAGTAAGAAAGAATTAGAAAATTTACATAATATTTCTATCTCATCAATTATTTGGTCAGAGACTTACTATTTTATCAATGGAAGTTAACCTATATGACTATTTATGAAGTAGGAACGAATTACAAAATTTATATAATATTTCGATTTCCTATTTTTTCCTTTTAATACTATATCAAATATTATTACTTGATACACATATCGATACAATTTAATTAAAGCAAGTCTATCTGTAAAATGAATAAACCTTTGTGACCAAGGTAAAACTTAATATGTTTACTTGGGAATTTAGGGAAAAAATAACATATGTAAATCATAAATTCCCTATATATTAATTG